ATACACATAGAGTGAATTTAAATCGAGTGTTCATTATTCATTTCTAATTCTGATATGCCTAGCTCATTACACTGTACAGCACTTGGCTGGTTATTGCACAAAAGCAACTTTTTTTAAGAGATTGACTCATAATTAAAAAAGTAATTTCTTCGTTTTTCGAAGTTAGCTTCCGAAATCGAGATAGGGGACTTCGCAGCTTGAAATTGGACCTTGGGTAAAAAATTATTTTTAATGATTGTATATATGTAAACAACTAAAAAAGTAAAAATTTTGACGTAATCCGGCTTTTGCTCTTATTTAAACGGTATGTAACTTTTTTGTGCAAACTTATATTGCAGGTGCTATAAGGGATCAGAAAGCAGTTCAAAAATTGTTGAAATATAATTTTTTTTAATCTCAAGAAAACCATCAAGAAAAATATTGCCATTATTTCGTGTGTGTGTCCAAGGAATTTTGACAACTGATACTTCAGCAGCCTGTTGGCTCGCTCTTTCCTCAAGAAATAATGGAACGGGCATATATTTCTGTTGCAAGCATGGGTTGCCTTGTGCTCTTTTTGCACAAAAAACTTTAGAAAACCGTAGTAGAAGGCGTAGCAAATTTCTTAAGAACTGCGTACTGCCTCAAGAAAATTTTACATAAGAAAATTTCTTAGGCATTTCTTGTACGTCATTTTGTATGGAATTTTTGTTTTTTTTCACAAAAAAAGTTACGTACCGTTTAAATAAGAGCAAAAGGCGCGTATATGACAGTACAAATGGAAATTGTTTTAAACTTCCATTATAAAACAATTAAATAACAAAAATGCAAAAAGATTTGAAAGAACAAAAAAATTAAATTGCTATTAATAGCTTATTAAAAAATCGCAGTTTTCGTATTTCTGAAATGTACCGTTATATGGTAAGTGGCAGTAATTTGAGTCCGATTTCAAAAATTTTGCATATTGCTTTTTCACGCCAAGGTTGATAAATATGCCGAGTTTGATAGAAATTGGTAAACCGGTTACCGAGATACACATATGTAGGCATAAGTGGGCGGTGCCACGCCCATTTTCCAAAAATTTCCCTAAATATAATTTTCTGCTAAGAGGTTATTGCATATATCGATTTTGAGTAAATTAGCTTAAAGAGTTACTTATTTATCGCAGTTTTCGTATTTCTGTAAATTACCGTTATATGGGAGGTGGGCGTGGTTCTTGTCGGATTTTAAAAATTTTCAACAAGTTTCTTAGTCAAGCCCTAAGTAATGTTCTCAGCGAGTTTGGTGGGGATTTTAAAGGGGCTACAGAGATACAGCTTTTTATCATAAGCGGGCGGGGCCACGCCCATTTTCCAAAAATTTCATAACTGTCTTATTTTATGCCAAATTTCTACTTCGCATACCAACTTTCAACAATTTGGAGTCAGTATTTGCGGAAATATCGTAGTTTTTGCTTATTTCGAAAATACCGTTATATGGGAGGTGGGCGTGGTTGTTGTCCGATTCTGCCCATTTTCAATTCGATGGTCTTCTTATTGCCTNTTATACCCGAGCGCACTTGTGCACAAGGGTATTATAACTTTGTTCACATAACGGTTGTTTGTAACAGGCAAAACGAATCGAGATAGATATAGACAAATGTATACATAAATGATCAGAATGAAAAGAGAAATCGATTAAGCGGTGACTGTCTGTCCGTCCGTCCGTCTGTGCACACGATAACTCGAGTAAAAATTTAGATATCTTAACGAAACTTGGTACGTGCACTTCTGTCTGGCGTAGGACGGATGGTAGTGAAAATGGGCAAAATCGGACAATAACCACGCCTACCTCCCATATAACGGTAATTTTCAGAAATACACTGCGCTGCGCTGTAAGCAGCAATTCTTTCGCTTTTGCTGTTTGCTGTCGCTTATTTTTTTCTTAAGTCACAGCTAAGCAATTGCGAATGCAGTGAAAATAGTCAAGCAATTTCAAACCCTGAATCAACTCACATTTGCAATCATCGACAACTCACTCAGCCCGTCTGCACTAGTTGTTTTACTGACGCCGTTCTTCTTCTTTCCAGTCAGTGATGACTAGAAATCGCGTCATGTGAGTCGCTAACGCACCAGGCGCGCTGAATGAAACTGCTAGCTATCGTTCATTACGAGTATTTATTTTATGCGCCGCCGCTTGGCGGGCAACATTTATTCACTATGGACGAACAAACGACTGATTCATGTATAATGGAACGATTCAGCAGTGTTTCATAGCGTCAAGATCACAAAATACTCGTCAAAACTCTTAAGTTGAGACTGCTGCGGTGTCGTCAGTCCATTCTTCTTCTTGCGGTTATAGTTTCGGTTAGCGCTGACTAAAATTTTGCTGTCTGCATAACAGGCACGCAGAAATGTGCTGCTAGTAGCATCACTCGCTAGCGTGAACTCGTTTACCACTGTTCATTAATTTATTATAATTGGCTGCTACTTGGCCAGAAAATGTGTAATACAATTAAGTGTATGTATGCATGTATGTAAATATGTGTGCATGGCTATACATTGTATAGGAATGCAGCTTCCTACATAAACAAAGTATTGTTTCTTTCTTTATTACAGGGGAAGTTTTTGGCGATACTCAGGTACAATTTCGATGGGCGATTAAAAGATTCAGTAGAATATCTTTAATTCTTTTTAACTGTGTAGCATTGAGGTAGATTTGAACTTAAAATTTTACTTTTACTTAAAATTGAAGTGAAAGCCATGTAAACAGTGTTGCAAACTTCAAAGTTGGCAAACACAGAGTTGCTTCTCTTCTTCTTTCCATTTAGTTTCCGTCAGCGATGACGGGAAATACCGTCATGTAAGTCGCTAGCGCATCAGGCGCGCAGAAAGAGGTTGCAAGCGACATTCGTTGAAACATTTTGTTTATAGCAATAATCTTTTGCTTTACGGACAAATAAGTACACATACAAATATGTACATACGTACCTACTTAGGTGAGGAAACACAGCAGGGTAGTTTTTGAGTGCCAGAAAAAGGGCAAGTAGAGTAAATAGTATCAATATGGGGATAAGTTTAAGTACTTACAGAATATTACATATTTTGTTTAATTTAAAAACTTTACTACTACTTACAGCAGAAACAAATTTTAATGGACTTGCTATTGAAGGTCGTAACAACAAAAACAACCAAAACAATAAAACATATCCAGTATTATCATGAGTTGAATTTATGCCTGAAATCGCTCTTTTCGCTTCCGTGTATTCGCTATGGGCGGTTAAAAAAAAATTCGGGCGAATTTGTTTTCGATTTTTAAGCACACCATTAGTCCGTTCTATAAAGTAACGATACTTTGAATGAGCTATGGTTGAACTGCATTTTAATAGTCACCTTCGGAAGGCTTCAAAAGCCATGGTTCTCCTAATTGTCATATTAACGCTTGTAAATATATAAAAATTCTTTTCAAAAATTATACATATCTACGTACATATGTCCAAAAAAATTGCCAACATTTCGCATATATTCTTGTTTGAAATGCATTCTTAATGCACTGACTTTCCAAATAGTAAAGGTACCATCGAACTGCTTTTTATGCGGCTGTGTGTGGATCTCAAGCACATCTAGCTGATATCTGAATGCGGCTTTATTATTATTAATTCAATAGTATTTTTCAAACCTGGGGA